CCACTCTTGAGGATGCATGTGTAAGAGTTTGTCTGTTTGACTTCATGCATTGCACAGTAGAAAAGACATTTGTATTTACTGCCTTTACTTGTTGGCATCCTTGCAGAAGGTTGACAATAAGTTGAAAGAATTAGAGAGGAGGAAGTTTGGCAAGGACTCTCTAATTCGTGTTGCTGTTGTCGGTTGTGGTTACTCTGGAGTAGAGTTGGCTGCTACAGTATCAGAGAGACTACAAGAGAGAGGTTTAGTACAAGCCATTAATGCGAACGCTACTATCTTGCCAACTGCCCCTCCTGGCAATAGGGAAGCCGCACTTAAAGTAAGATATCTAGATTTTGGATCAGGGAAACAGGTTTTTTTGAAATTTTACTAGCACAATATTTAGTTACACTTTTACACGCACAAAAGGACATGAATTAGTGATACCTTCTTAACTTTATGAATTGGGAAGATTTTTATGGGTTTTTCCATCAATTTCTCAAGGGGCACATTCAAAAAATCATATTGTTTAGGGGTAAAATCAAATATTTTTTAGTTTAGGGGGTATTAATTTTTTTGCTCAAGTTCAGAGGGGGTATTTTACACTTTAGCATCAATTAATTGGTACAGATCAATACCTTCCCAAAAAAAAAAAAAAAAAAAAAGCGATGAGAAAATTTTCAATTTCTTGAAATGCTGTTAAAGGCAGCTGAGTTCATTTTCATTTTTCATGTCCTTGATTGTTCTAATCTTTTTTGAATTTTTGTTTATTAATCATTTATAATTTGGGGATAGAGAATTTATGCATCAGAAATTGATATTTGCTTAGGAATCTGGGGTTTTTATCATTCTTACTGGTGCTCTAATTTTTTCCATGATTAAATCATACTTTTACCTGCAATTAGAACTTTTAAATTTACATAGCTTTGGCTATTGGAACCAGGTCCTTTCATCCAGGAAAGTCCAGCTTCCAAAAAAAGCAATGAGAAAATTTTCATTTTCTTGAAATGCTGTTAAAGGCAGCTGAGTTCATTTTCATTTTTCATGCCCTTGATTGTTCTAATCTATTTTGAATTTTTATTTATTAATCATTTATAATTTGGGATAGAAAATTTATGCATCAGAAATTGATATTTGCTTAGGAATCTGGGCTTTTTATCATTCTTACTGGTGTCCTAATTTTTTCCTTGATTAAATTATACTCTTACCTGCAATTAACGCACTTAAATTTACATAGCTTTTGCTATTGGAATCAGGTCCTTTCATCCAGGAAAGTCCAGCTTCTTTTGGGTTATTTTGTTCGTTGTATCCAGAAAGAGAGTGACTTGGAAGGTTTTGCAATGCCACCAGAGGCTGGGGGATTTCAGGATACAGTAGTAGAACATGGTTCTGAGAAATATATTCTGGAACTTCAACCTGCTGAAAGGGGATTGCAGAGTCAGATTCTTGAAGCAGATCTAGTGTTATGGACTGTTGGGTCAAAACCCCCACTTTCTCAATTGGAACCCTATGATAAGCCCCATGCGCTTCCTCTAAATGGCCGGGGACAAGCAGAGACAGACGAAACACTCCGTGTTAAGGGCCATCCACGCATATTTGCACTTGGTGACTCTTCTGCTCTTAGAGACATGAAGGGACGGGTTCTTCCAGCAACTGCTCAGGTATTATATTATATCAATTTCTTAGATATGGGAAGAAAATGCTCTCTTTTACATTTATCGATATGAACATATCAACACTACCCACCCCCATCCACTGACTTCTAATTGCAACTCTCAGGTTGCTTTCCAGCAGGCAGATTTTACTGGTTGGAATTTGTGGGCAGCAATTAATGACCGGCCTTTGTTGCCATTTAGGTTTGAAATCTGCGCAATCCATGTCAAATTTTTGTTTCGGGATCTGTTGTGTGCTTCCTTTAATTCCTCTTTTCTCCAGCACACTGGAAAAGGCTTTATTTCCAAATTTTGTGTGGAACAACATATGCTAGTTTACTTTGTTTATGGTTGGCAGATGCATAAATCTGCATTCTGTGATTATATCCTGTCTTATGGAATGTCTTGAACTAGCTTACCTTTTACAGGAATATAATTTACATAAAGTTGCATCATTTGTATCTGATTTCCAGGTTTCAGAATCTAGGTGAAATGATGACTCTGGGAAGAAATGATGCTGCTCTTTCACCAAGTTTCATTGAAGGACTAACCTTGGAGGGTCCTGTTGGCCATGCTGGTAATAATCTATTTCAATGCCGTGGAACATCTTTTTTTCCCTTTTCTTGTTTATCTTAATTTATAGCCACAAATTTCCCATTATTGCAGCAAGGAAAATAGCCTATTTGATTAGGTTACCTACAGATGAACACCGGGTTAAAGTGGGAATTAGCTGGCTTACAAAGTCAGCTGTAGACTCAGTTGCATCGATACAGAGTACCCTGAGTAAGGTTATCTCAGGCTCGTAGACTCTCACATCTTTTAAAAAAGCAAGCTTGAATGGTGCTCATGGTTGTACGGTGCATGTTTATTTAATTATCCCGTGCATTACTCAATGCAAGGATGTCCTTGTAACAATGAGCTTAATTTGCATTCTTGATTTTTGTTTCAAATTATGAAAAGAAAGAAGAGTTCATAAGGATAAAATCAGACTAAACAGAAGGAAGCCATTGTAATGCCAGCAAGCTGCTCTCTTTCAGTTCTTATGCTATTGTTGTTATTGCATGACTCCGGTATATATTCACCCAGCCAAGTTGGCACCTCATTCTTCTCTTCCCTTCTGTCTCTGTTCATCATCCCTCTCCCTCATCATCCAAACAGGTCACATTGTTTCCCTCATCAGCCAATTATTCACCAACCCCTCCATCCTTCCTGGTTCCAACATCTGTTTTCTTTTATCTGAAATTCTGAATGATGGGTTTCTGTCTCTTCCTCTATCTTATAGACGATGGGAGTCTCCCGTCTCTTTGTTCTGAGAGTAGACTGCTTCACGTCAATCCTCGAGGTTGGAGGCTTCTCTCTCAGCCTTCCATTTGCTTCCTATCTTGGTGGATTCCAAAATTAGTCAGTATTAAATCTTACTAATGGCACCTGAATCTGGACATAAACGGTGGCATAGAGATAGGCAAATATGGGCTTTGCTTGGTGGTCGGACAACCATGAACATTGATCATGCAACATGTTCTGTCTGGTCCCTGGCAACCCCCCAGACCCCATCCCCTCGTCCTCGTCATTTGGGGTTGTATTATCTGATATTCTTAAATTTAGGTGTTATCAAGATTGGCGTACGGTACATGGTTTAACTTTTAAGGTTCGAGATTTCTTTTTGTAACCAACATGCAAGAAGGCACCATGTGGCTTTGCCTTTCTGCCGTTTTATGATCTAACTAAATTAATGCTGTCTGGTAAATCAATCAACGGTAGTCTTGTGATCAGCTCATTTCTTTATTCTCTTCCTCTTCAATTAAGCAATAAATTCTCATAAACAATGGGAGATAATAGCAAAAGTTAAGCAATATCTAAATGCATTTATTATGCTTTATTTATTGTTGAATTGTGATAAAAATAAAAAATAAAAATCGAAAACTTTGTGAAAACTAACGAATGAAATTGATTATAAACGTTAAATAGATGTTATTTTATATAATAACTTTTTCAAGTGATAACAATAAATTTTATAACTAAAAAGAAAAATAAAGAATGATTTGAAACATCAAATAACTCTTAGTACGTGTTTAAGAACACCAGTCAGCCAGATCTTTATTTTATTTACCTGTTAACCAAACCTTATTTTATTTCCGTATCTTCTGCATACATGTGGTTATGGAATAATGAACATTTATGAAACTAATAATGCAATAAGCCAGAGTGGGTTTTAAGATTAAGATTAAAAAGCTACATTTTGCCAGCGTGCATTTATGTGATCGAAATTAACAGTACATTGTTCTTCAGTTCAGAAAGACATAGAGTTATCTAAAAAAGTTAGCTTGAGCGGAAAAGATTCTAATCGTTTAAATAAGTGATCTCGAGTTTAAGTTTTTGTATATACAGAAAACTCTTTAAATAGATGCGTCTATCTTATGCATCCAATAAAATAATAAAGGATTAGTCTGTGTTTTTTTATTTGGAATATTTGAGAATCCTAAAAAAGAAAGAAAAAAGAAACAGAGAGCCTCCTATTTGTTGCATCTGTCTCCATGTATTAAGAATGGATTTCTTTTATTTTTAGCTTAGTAGTGACAGTAGTTGTAGTAGTTTCACAGGTGCATGAAAAAAATGACAAGAATAGATAGCAACATGTTCTACATACCCAACTTTTTTTTTTTTTTTTTTTTAACAAAGAAGGAAAAAAAAATAATAATAATTATCCTTTCGAAGATGAGTCTATACTTTATAAACAACTTCAACATTACAGAAAAAAGAGGTTGGTTGATATCCTAGGTTTATCACATCTTAATCATCATTCCTCACTCATCAACGTATCTTCTTCTTCTTCTTCTTTTTTTCATGTTAATGACTTAATTTGTGATTATATAATAGTATAATTTTTCAATTTTTCTTTATATCTTTAATAGAGTTAATTTTTAAAAATATATATATTAATTTTTTAATTTTTTTTTTACAAGATTTCAAGTTAAACCAGTGAAATTAGTCACATAAATTATACATGATTATTTTTTATGCACAAAATATATTTACAAACTAGACAAATAAAAGATTTTTATGTACAAATTAAGTAATTAAGTTTAATAATTTTGTTTAAAATTTTTTTTTATCAAAAAAATAGATTAAAAACTTAATATATATTTAAAAATAAAATTAATTCAATCAAAACTATAAAGATAGAATGAAAAATTATTTATTATATATATGTAGTGGTTGAATCATTAAACCTTTATTTCCCCTTCCCTTTTTAATAGAAGTCTTGTCATGATTTGTTACTGTCTATTAAATGTTGTTCATGTAACTATAAACAAGGAGTGTCGTTAAATGTAAGGATTAATTCCTTGTAGTACATGCAACTTATTATTAATGGCCATAATTGAAGCAACGAAAACCAAGTTAGCTAGGAAGATGAAGTTAAGCAAATTAAATGGCCCTCAAAATTTGGTTGGAGTGAGTTGTAACCACCATGGAAACACATCTAATTTTGAAATATTTTTGTGACCCTCAAGTAAAAATATTCATTTTCTACACAGGAAACTTATGATTGGGATTTTTTACCAAATCTCAAATTTCTTATTTCTTATGTTGTCCCATCATACCATATTATCTTGACTTTCTCAAGCTCGATCATTGTATTGCTGTGTCATTAAAAAAAAAAAGATACCAACCATTACCAATCTGGGCTCGCCTCGTTAATAATTTAGCCGAGTCTGCATTACTTCAGGGTGAAGGCATCAATCTGATACGAATAATCTATCTCTAAAACCTAATCGAAAAGTTACTGGAATCACAGTTAATTTAATAACAATAACCAGTCTTTAACCCTTAAAAAAAAAAAAGAAGATGATACATATATATATATATATATATAAACACACACACATGGACATTAATGGGGAGATGCTATGTGACGAATGTAGTGGTCCCGAAGAAAGTATAGACAGTACGAGATAAGTTTTGGAGTTATTGTGCCATAGTTTGATATTCTAGAATGATAATGATAATGATCAAGTGATGGGACTCGTTGTTGTATCGATCTGTTATGGTAATTGCCTGTCCATCTCAGCTTCTATTGAGAAGTCGGCAGCATAAATTTAAATAATAGCAATTATATAATAATTTTAAAATATTTTATTATATATCTTTATTTTATGTTTATGTAATAATTATTATAGGAAAATCATAATTGGCAATCGCAGCCGTTATTGTTACTTGAAAATTTAATGGATGTGGACAGTACTGTTAATTAATTGCAATTGGCCCATGAGTACTGTTACTTGTTATACATAACTTGGCATTTAATAGATTGCTTGCTTTATATGTTATCTAGTGATCAGATACCCATTTTTGGCAGTCGAAGCTCTCATTGGCTATTCGGCTCCCAAATGAAAGGAGGGGCCAGCCCTGGTCTTCACTAACACTCCTTCAATGCACCTCCAAATATATACATTATAGATTCAAATAGGTTTGACAATGGAGGATGTAGATCCTCCACCTCTTAATTTTCATACCATCTCTATTTATTTCAGAAGTAATTTTCATTCTCCATACTCTCATCTTTTCGGTCTGGATATTATTTTTTATGAGCCATTTTTTTTCAAATAAAAAATATATTCGATTTAAAATATTAATTAAAATGTTTTATACACATCAAATAAAGTTAATCAAGATAATATTATATATATAAAAAAACTATATAAATATATTGACAAAATGGATTCATCAAGTCGGAAAGTCTTTATATCCGAATTTATTCATATCATATATTTTATCTGTAAGATATATATCCACAAAACTATATATATATATTTGACAAGTTGGCACGTTCATGCTTGGCCGAAAAATCCCTTAGATTAGATTGTTCTATCTGATTGGTTCTTAGATTTAGCTGGCAAGTTTGGTGGATTTTTTTTTTTTTTTGGACAATGCTTAAGGTTTTATAAGCCTACCATGACATCTATTAATCCCACCCACCTGGCCACTTTAATCACGTTCTTCCCATTGTATCATCCTGCTAGCTCATTTAAGCATTGGAGAAACCTTTGAGACCCTCCTTTTGTCTTTATTTTGTTTTTGAAAAATCCCTTCCAACCAACTAGGATGTAATAGATTCATCACCAGCCATATTGGGCTATAAACAAGAAAAAAATCAACTAAACCTAATTTAACGCTTTTGATAGAGTTGTAGAAGCACTTTATAAAGGACTTTTTCAACTTAAAATTCAGTAATCTGAACACTAATTGGTTTGAGTTGACATTAAAAACTAAAATTTATAAAAAATCTGGTCAAAACTGATCAAATTAAGACAATTACACCAATGAATCAATTATTGATTTGGTAAAAAAAATAAAAAAAAGTAACTTGTGATATTTTTTTAACTCACATACTCGAGGCTTTTAACATAATTAATCTATTATGATTTAAATCCGTGACCTCTTGTTATAAGAAACCACTACCACTAGGCTACAAACTTTATGATTAACTTGTGACATTTAAATTTGATACTTGCATTTTAAAAAATTAAGCACTTTCTTGCTTATACTTCATATATTACAAAATATATTTGTATCATAGGGTATCATAGTACGATTGACTTGACAATCCGATGGATGATCCAATGATCTATTAACTTATTAAGGAATCGGTCTACATCAAGGAATCGGTCTAAATCCGATGATCTAATAACTTATTTAAGGATTCTGTATTTAGACCGAGTTTGATAACATTGCTTTTATGTTTATAATAAGGAAAATTATACGTAGGTTAGTACATCTACGTTGATTTTATCCATTATTTGACAAGAAACAGAGAAGACCTTGCACAGTCACGTAACAGAGGAAGAGAAACCATCCAGAAAGAAACCAAACAAACCAATTTCAACTTGCAGTTACAACCCGCCAAGAAAATGGGAGTTGCTAACATATCCATCATCTTCTTTGATTTTCTCGACCCAATATCATACCTTACTTGAAAACGACTCTCTCCCTCTCTCTTCTTTATATACCGTTTTCGTGCCATACCTATCCATCAAGGGAGCAGCTAAGTATTAGCTTTCAATCAATTACAACTACATTTCCTTGTCAACTCCGCCTTTTTGGTCTTAATTCTTGTCTATATGTATCTTTTTGAGGTGGTTGTTTCATGCTTTTCTTGCTAACCTCTCCCAGTACTAGTCAGTACTGCTTCGTTGCCTAAAACATATCAACTTTCACATGGGGTTGTTCAGAGCTAAGGGTGTGGTTTACAAGCCTGTGGAGAATGTTAATCTTGGCCCTGATAGTGATGAATCCTATGTACAAGCCAATGTCAAAGGTTTGCATTTTCATTTCCATCTTCAATCATATACTTCGCTTTTGATTGCTATGATGGGATTCATTTACTGCTATATCGTTTTGTAGGCAGAGAATTTTGAACCAACAGATCATAAGAATTAAGTGAATCATGCTTGTATGTCCTTTCTTGCAAAATTCTGACTCTTAGTTATTCTGGCTCTGAAATGAATCGCTCTGTTTAGTCAGAAATACTTGCAGGTCAGGTTGCTTGAACAGAAGTTCCTGCAGTACTTATGTTTGTTTGATTTAAACAATTTTTGCAATTTAAGTCTAGAGTAGTTTCACTATGCTTCATCATTTAATTAAAATCAAATTTACCAAAAGAAGAAACATAAAGGATATGCTATTGAAAGTCTTGATGAACACAGTGCATAATATGCCTATGTTTGCCTATGTATGTTCAAAGCATATACATATGTTTTGAGTTTATTTTCATGTCGCTGAAAAATTGTTAAGATGTGCATCATGTGCTAAAGTTTGCATTCGTTTCATAAGCTCCTCGCATGGCTGGATTTCTTGCCAAAATTTTCGCCTGGTTTCTCGAGTCGCGAATTTTTGGAACATTACTGCTGTACATTTTGAAGAGAAACAATCTAATTCACAAGGTATGTCTTTTCCTTTCTTCATCATCACAGAATTTATTTTTAGTTTTTTTAGTACAACATTAAAACTCAGTTTTTAATATCTTTTTCATCATCTCATGAATGATCAATTATGAAATTATTAATTTGTTACGTTTCCCTTCCAGTTAATTGTCAACAGCTCATTCCCTCTTGCGTCGAACTCGTACTAATAAGTGAAAACAAACAAAACCATATCTAGAAACATCATCAGCATCTATACTTTCTTATTTCTCGAGGGCCCATATTTTGCTAATTTGACAAGGTAGTTGTCACTGGTAGGTTAGATGCATTTGCCCTGAAATGGGGTCATACGTTCTACCTTTAAATCTTGCTCCCATTGGTGACCCCATGTGCCCCAATCCATCCAGAGCTGCATTTTGTAACCTCATCTGGAAGCTAGCTTGGTAATAGCAAGCTAGCTCTTTTTCCTGACCAAAATTAAATTTGCAGAAGCATGTACTTAAATCTGGGCCTTAGATGAAATTGAATCGCAACGATTCTCCATTATAAGCTCCTAATTTGAAGTAATCAGCCACCAAATTGTTCAGTGTTTCTTTGTCAGTGAATTCTAAAGATACCACGTGAATCTTGAATGATTGTACTATTGTCTGTAAATCCAGCCAATCAGCTTTGTCTTTTTGAAACAAAACCAACAATGTCTCATTCAATCTAGTTGTCAAGAGTTCCACTGACTGCTAGGTAGTCCCTCTACCTTTACTACTTCCCTATCCTCAGGAAGTGATAACGACTATTCATATACCGCATCCGGCCCTATCAAAATCTACTGCCTAAATTCTTATCTGCAGAAATTTACAGGACATACTTAACGAGTCCTTTCTTTTTGTTGGTCCTAATATGCAACTTAAGCATAATTCATCGAAATTTATGTGATACGAAACAACCATTTTTTTATCTTTCTCCTTTCTGTCTGTCTTTTTTTCTTTATAAAGCTTTTCAGTTTTCACCATTAAAACTCGGCTTGTGAATGTTCTAATGATCAGTAGTTTATCAACAAGTATAACCTTAATCACCTTGTCAATCCAACACTGTGAACTAAACCAACATTTGACACACGTACACAGAGACAGATGCACGAAGCATAAACTAGCTGTACTTCCTTGGTACAGTACTTTAGCTGGTTTTAATCATTAAATTTGGGATGAAATTAAGCTCCTTCAATGGCAGTAGTCCCCATATGGCTATCCTGATGTGGACAGGACCACTCTACAATCTTACCACAGGATGTCATTAATGGTGCTATTTACTGGCAAAAACCACCGTTGGAGCTTGGTAGATCCCAGTCCACTTGACCAAAGGATACAGTGCATGTTGTTCTCTTCTCCACTTTATCGATCTTCTTTTGGTTAATTATTGAATACAAAAGTTTTTGTTTCGCCAAGCATGTGGACTCTTCCACTGCCAAAGTCTTAGATACCTAGCATTGCCTGCTTGCATAATTGCAAGCCTTCATTTTCTTTGCAGGAACCCATACAAGTAGTGGACATTAAAGGTTGTTTTATTGTGATCAATATCCAAGCAGAATTCCTCATAAACATATAGTGGCATTATCAACAGAAGGAATATGACTAAACTTACAACCCAAGAATATGTCTTACTAGACATTAATAAAGACAAATACTTATCTCAAAACCTCAATCAAAGACTAATTCATCTTAAATTCCACCACTAATATATAGTTTTAAATAACAGACAGTTAAAAAAACGATGACGGTAATCATCGTGAATCATGACTTACTATAATATTGAAATAACAATAATAAAATGTTTCAAAACTTATATATAATAATCGTTATTTAAATTTAGGCTAATTGGTTAAATAATAACCTATACTATGCATTTGCATCGATATCCTAAACTAAATTTTTTTCAAATTCTGAGTACTATAGCTATTTTTTAGTTTGTAATTAATTTTTTTCAATTCTGAGTGTTATAGCTATTTTTTGGTTTGTAATGAAATCTGAAGATACCATTGACTAATATACAGTCACACGTGATAGATACAGGATAGTGAAATGATTAAAAAGCCCGTAACTTTTTTCTGTCTGCATCACCGTCTCTCTCTTTCTCTCCTTCTCTATCTGCAAAAGCCCACCACCAACATTCAAAACGTTTCTAGGATTGATAAACAAAAGATTCAGAAGAATCCTCAAACCAATAAAATAGCATTGCCCAATAAAAATATCAGTGGCTAGCACTTTCTTTCCCTTACATCATCATCCCATATTATTACCTTCTTTCATCTTCAAAATCTCAGAAGCGGCAAAACTGGAACCGCCATCCTCCACTCTCACTCTCCTGATGCAGTAGGGCCTACTCTCAATCTATAGTCCTTTTCTTAGAAGAGAAAGGAAAGATCAAGAATAGGCAAGTACAAAAGGATGGACTTAAAAAATTGGACCCTTGCATGGTCTGTCTCCTTGAAACTAAAGCAAGGGGATTTGATGAGGCGAAAGTTTAAAAAGTTATGGAATAGCAGCAACATCAAAGTCCACCCAAACCCATCTGCACCATGTTGGTGCCCTCACACCTTAAAAAGCTTCAAAATTGCAAAGATTATGCAGAGACATGTAAATCGAAGTGCTTCACACCTTAGAAATGGTGTGAAACACCCTCTTCTGTCCCAACAAAAAAAATGCAATTCCAATTTCTCTCTCTGTCTTTGATTAATTGATTTAGGTTTTTTTTTTTTTTTTTTCAATATCTCGTCTTTTGTTTTAATCTAGAGGTGAGTGTAATTTGTAATTTCATTACATTAAGTTGGTCGGCAAAGAAAACAAGGTCTACGTGTTTTTTTATTTATTGAGCTACGTCATCACATGTAAAAAATGTGTTTAGAATTTGATAAACGGGATCAACCAACTTGATTATAAATCAAAAAATAATTATGATATTCGAATCAAAAAAAAATTAATTCAGAGTATTAGTATACGGTCAATGCATAGTATAATACTATCTAACCAATTAGCTATAAATTTATTAATACTGCAATAACAATAGTAATGATAATGATAATGGTGGCAGCAGCTGTGGTAGTGCGCTCTGAAGATGATAGCGATGGTGGTGGTGATGATGAGGATTCAGAAAAAATAAACAAATAAATAAATAAAGTTGCGATCCATTTGCTCTGCATTTCACTCTCTGGAGCATTCTAGACGACCAGTTTTAAGCACTTAATTGTGAAACATTGTTGAATAAACTGATTCACTAGATTATCAAAAGTTGTGTATTACTAGAGAATGAAGCATAGGAGGATTCACACTTGGGTGCTTTTCATCTAGACAAATGCAAGCTTCCTACTAGCTGAAATATATATATATATATATATATATATATATATATGTTCTGAACTCAAGAACCATAATTCGAAATTCATGGTACCTAGGGTTCCAAAATCGAAGTCAAAACCAAACGGCCAGTACCAAATAGAAGCCTCAGCCTTCAATTTTTCGTCAGCTGATGTTCATTACATTCTAGGAAAGAGTACTTCATTTTCTAATTATTATTATGTTTCAAAGAGACTTGAGCTTGAAAGTAGCAAAACAAAGATGAGTCATGGAACATTTAAAATGTCAGATTTGTCATCATGCCAATGAAGAGCTTGTCACTCTTTGTTCACACATCTAGCAAGTTGGTCATATGCATATTAAGTTCACATTTTAAGGCCTCATTTCGCGTTCATAGAAAGAACAAACCTTAATTTCACCATTGCATTCTGATATTCTACGTCAAAGACTCATGACTGCCTGCAACTCTCGCAGCTTGTTACAAATGCAGAGCTGGAGGAACCACCTGTCTATGTTCCTTTGCATCCATTTGAAGGTATGTTCACTGCCCTTAAGTTTCCCAACTCTTCTACTTAACTTTCGTACTATTCATAGGCTGTAAATTGGTTACAGTTACGAAAGAGTTGGCATCAATTATGTCTAGAAGAGGAAATTCTGATCTTGCAGGACTTCAAACAGTCATAATGTGATCATCCATTTATATTGATTTCATTGAGTTCCATGAGAAAGATTTTTATTTGAGTTCGTCACTGCAGAGCTTAATGAGCAAGAAGTCAAACGCATAAATTCTGATCTATCACCATCTGAACAAGTTCAGCAGGCAATTGATTGTCTGCCTCTACCTTCAGAGAAGATTGTAAATGGATCGAAGCCATCTTTTCGTTACTGGACAATAATGGATTATTCGAAAGCTTATAGCTCAGGAAAAATAACTCCATACATGGTACATCATTTATTAGTCATTTCTTTCAAGAAATGTTCTTTTCCGTTTTTTGTTTGAAGTTATCGAAGCTGTAGCTTGCACAAACATTTGAAACCTCAAAGTTGATGGAATTACATGATTCAAAGGATTTGTTTCAGTCTCCTTTCTTGTTGCCAACATGTTTCTCGTGTAAAATACTTCATTGCAGTTTATACATCGGTTTCCTTGAAGTGCCTGATGTTTTTCCTCTTAGCACAGGTTGCAGAACAATTAGTAGCTGCCATCCGTGAATCTTCCAGTCCTCCATTGGACATGGCATTCTTTATTAATTATGATGCTGAAGATATTTTATGGCAGGCTAAAGAATCAACTCTTCGGTATGAAAGAGGTAGGCTTCATTGAAACTCATAACTAAATCTTTGCATGCAGTTTGATAATCCTGTATCCATCAAGAGTGCACTATTTCTTTCATGACAAATATCGGGTCTAAATTTTTTGATGGTCTAATTCTTCTAGCCTCAGGAACAACATTATTTTCTTCTAGCCCACTATTTTACATTCGTTGCTTTGAACATGCTATGAAACTCATACTTGTTCTGTTACACAACAGGGGAGCCAATATCAACCCTAGATGGAGTTCCAATTGCAATCAAGGATGAAATAGATTGTAGCCCTTATCCAACTACAGGTAACTTGTCACTGGCCGTGTTGATTTAATAAATTGTTCTACTTAAACCATGATTAGTTTGGTATTGAGGCCTGGTTGTTGTTGTTTTTGTGTCTACTGATGATAGCTACATATAACATTGATTTTTCTAGGAGGCACCAAGTGGTTGCACAAATTTAGACGTTGTAAAGGTGATGCCTGCTGCACTATGCGCCTCAGATTATGCGGTGCTGTAATTATTGGAAAAACCAATATGCATGAGCTTGGAGCTGGAACGAGTGGAATAAATCCTCACTATGGGTACAAACACTCAGCTTTTCTCCTCTTATAAATTTGAAAATTATCCTACTTGAACTATTGGAAGTCACAACAAAAATACAGTACAATCTCTTCTTTTTTCTTTAAAATCATGTATAGCTTATGCTTCTCTGTTTAACATCTGAAAGGTTTAGGAGAATGATGGTATCTCCATAATTATGAATGTTGTAGGGCTACTAGAAATCCACACGATCCTGGCAGGATATCAGGAGGTTCTTCTAGTGGATCAGCTGCTGTTGTAGCTGCAGGACTGTGCCCTGCTGCCCTTGGTGTTGATGGGGGAGGTAAAATTAAATTCATCCTCAAATGGAAACTTAATTTCAAATCTGAATTGAGGCTTTTTCACTAAAAGTAATCTTATTGTGGTTTTATATATAGATTAACTGCATACTGTAGCTAAGCATTGGGGAAAAAAAGCATCGGGGAAAAAAAGCATCTGCTATTGCTATTTACCAGTTTATGAAGTTTATTGACATGCCAAGGGGGAGAGATTAACGTCATTCTTGTTTTACTTTCCCTACAAAGATTTTCTGTAATGATTTGAGCTGAGAAAATCAATACTTCTTTTTGCAACTAGTCAAGATCATCTATACAAACTAGTTTAACAATTTGATAAGTTCATGTTCATGGAAGGTTCTGGCATTTATGCCAGCAAATTCTGCATATTTGTGACGTATATTACAATTTATCATGTCAATAACATCTAAATATAAACATCTTTCATCATAATGTAATTAGGATCTGTGAGAATGCCTGCAGCTCTTTGTGGTGTTGTTGGTTTCAAACCAACTTTCGGGCGTGTACCTCACTCTGGGTGAGAGCTCATTTCTATCTTGATTTTATTTCAAAAATCTTTGGTTTTCTCAATGCAGATGATTTTTCAATATTGTGAAGATTAATTTTCCATTTTTTCAGTGTTCTTCCTCTGAACTGGACAGTTGGGATGGTAGGAGTATTAGCAGGCACAATAGAGGATGCATTTATCGTGTCAGTGTCCTCTCTTCATTTGCACTTATTTTCTGAGTTATGATTGTTTGTTTCGATCCCTTTTTATGATTTTTATGTAGAGTTTAAATTAGTTCATTATTTTCCAGTTATGCAGCTATAAGTGGCCCTGTTCGATCCCATGACACCTCAGCTATAGCACCAGTAAGAACCTGCTCTGCAGTTTTCTTTAAAGTTTAAACTCTTAGTTATAGTTTTAAATCGCTGATGGTTGAAAAAACAGTTGCGGTTGCCATTGCGGATCGTGGCTTACTATAATACTAAAACAACGGTAATGAAATGCTCCAAAACATTACACAACGGCTATTATATAATGTAACGGCCTGTATTTAAAACTATAGTCCTATCTTCTGAGCACTCTTCGAAAATGGCCTTGTTAATATTTCAGAGCAACATCTGATAAATATTTCCCTTCTTTGTATCTGAAACTATCAGCCAAAGGTATATTTCCCACTGTTGCAATCAACAAATTCAGTGTCAAACATCACATTGGCAATATATGGGGAGGTTAGTAAATTTATCAACCTTACGTTCACATATATTTTATCTCAAGCTCATTATAATCATGCAGAAACATTACTCTATATGCAACAGATCATTCGTCTGATTCTGTTCTTTTGATTCTTTAACCACTTAATGGGTCCATTAGTGGTTTAATGATTGCAGTGATGAAATCAGAACATGCTGCTCTCAAGCATTGCACCAGCTTTCTGAGAAGTATGGATGGAAGGTATGGCAATGTACAATTTTGATGCAATACCTAATAAATAGGTTTTCTCGAACAGTATGCTGCTATTGTAAAGAAACTTGTTCACTTTATTCTCAAGAAAGCTCTTGATTAATTTGGTCATTGTCCATTGTCTGCTAATGTTTTACGGCCATTTACATGCAAGACTGTGGATGTTACCATACCAGACATAGAGTCAATGCGCCTCGCACATTATATAACAATTGGTTCTGAGTGCACCACTGCACTTAGTTCTTATCTAGAAAACCTGTAAGTTACCTCTGGCTAACACATCCACGTTTTCATCCATCTTTTTCAATAAAATATTGTAATTTGGACGATGATATTCGAAATAGGGATATTGCAGAGTCAGGATGGGATGTAAGGGTAGGACTTTGTGTATATGGTGCTTTCAGTGGTGAAGAGTATATAAAGGCTCAGAAACTTAGGTACGTTACAGCCTACATGGTGAAGTTTACTTATTAGCTAATAGCCAACCACTAACCATTTTGACTCCTACATAATCCTTGATCTGGTTATCTACATTTCATGAGTACATGAATGACTCCAGATTCTATGTATTTGCAGGAGCCGCCAGATGCAATTTCACACGAATATATTTAAAAAAGCAGATGTCATTGTTACGCCAACAGTAGGGTATTGATTTCTCCTTTTAATGGTCCTGTACTAATGTTCCTGATGAATGAATGGTCTCCATATTTGTTTCAAAGAGCTCAAATTGCACTCTATAGCTGTTATCCTCTACTGTAGACCATCTTGAATGTATGAAGCAACTGTGTTAGACCTCAAAATGCGCTTTCATCAGCTTATGGCTAACGTTCATCTATTTTATACGACAGCGTAACTGCATACCCAATTTTGAATGATGCTCTACAGACTGGTGAGCTGGACTACATAAATGGAGGTATGAAGTTCATGACATGACAGGTTTTTAACAGAAAATGTATAATGAAAATGCTTGAACCCTCAAATTGCATCACTACACATGAATTAGTCCAATAAAATACAATTCCATAATCATCTTGACCCACTTTTATTGTTGCAGCTGCACTAGTTCGGTATCAGATAGCAGGAAATTTTCTGGGGTTGCCTGCAGTTTCTGTTCCGGTAATGATCTTCATTGCTTGCTCATGCTCATTATTTTTATTTGGCTAGATTTCTTCTATTAACCTGAATTATGTAACACAGGTTGGATATGACAAAAAAGGGTTGCCTATAGGCCTTCAATTTATCGGAAAGCCATGGTCTGAACCAACATTAATCCATATAGCATATGCTATGCAGGTATATTATCAATTTATCATGTTTTGAGATTTAGATTTGTGTATTGTTCCTCTCCTTTTCGTTCAATTTGACTCCAAGATTCACATTAAAAATGTTTGCTAACTTAATATTGGAAGAATTCATATCTAGCAATATGCATGATGTGCTGTTCTTTTTCATATAGCATTTAAGATTACTATTTGACTGATTGTTCCAAGGAAGAATCATCTTTGATTCTGGGCGGATTGTCTTAAAATTTGAAAATCCTTTTACATAATATTCATGCTATTTATACATAGGGACTGATCTGTGGAGTATTTTTGGTTTCAGACTCTGTGCATCTCAGAGTACAAAAAGCCACATGTATTCTATGATTTGCTAAAGAAGGATTAAGTGGACCAGAAAGCTTCAAAAGGTCGAAGAGGCTCTTTCAATTGTCGAAGTATTTCTACACCAATTGTTTCTTCTTCCTCTTAATGAAATGTGGGAAACATTTTGTTGTAGAGTGCCTGGTTATCCTTACCATTTAGTCTCACTACTATGTAACTAAATGAATTTCCACAATCAACGATGTATCTTATGTTTGATGACAAAAAATCACGAACCTTATATATTGGTTATATTTGTATATCAAACTGAGTCATGTCGTTTTCCGACTTTCCAAAACAGTCCAGTTGTTTTTCTTCTCTCCAAAATAGTCATACCGTTGCATATCTTTTTTTCTAACAAGCATGACAAAAAGAATGTGAAAGGATCTCAATCCTTTTCGTAAAATAAAATATCTTACCTGACTTCATGAGCTGAAAATGTTTTTCAAAACTATAGAGATAGTTTTTTGTTTAGGGATTTAGACAGTATAATAGTCAATCAAAGGTTTTTTGTTATTCACTCTTATTTATGCTTGTTTGCTAAATTCTGATTTATTTATGAAAAACATTAGCCCTCTCTTCCCCACTCGAAACGAAAGCTATCCACAAGAGGAGATCTTTCTTTATTTTATTATGTGTCCGTTATGTTTACAATAGACGAGGACTCTTTCTTTTACAGGGGACCAAATACATTAGAATAGGAAGGAAATAATATAGGACGTAAAATTAGGAAGATAATAGAATAGAAAAATAGGTCCGATTTTCCGTGATTATAAGACCTTCCTAAAACAACGAAAGAATATTCCCCACTATTACGTTTTCCCACACTCCCCTCAAGCTCGGTGCATAGGTGTTCTCCATTCCTATCTTAGATACAATACTTTGAAACACTAAGCTATTTAACCCTTTAGTAAGCACATTAGCAAGTTGACCATGTGTAGACACATAGGGTGTACAAGTCGGACCGCTCTCCAACTTCTCTTTGATGAAGTGTCTATCAATTTTGATGCGTTTCGTTCGATCATGTTGTACCGGGTTGTGGGCTATACTAATTGCGGACTTATTATCACAATGAAGTCTCATCGGACCATCCCACTTCACCTTCAAGTCTTCTAGAATGATCCTCAACCACGGTAGTCACACACTCCCCGAGCCATTGCACGAAATTCCGCCTTCGCACTAGACTCGTGCAACTATATTCCGTTTTTTACTCCTCCATGTCATAAGATTTCCACCAAGAAAGGTGCAATATCCGAGTAGTTGACCTTCCGTCAACAATTGACCCAAGTATAATCAGCATATGTGTATGCCCGAAGTGCTAAACCTCCATTCCTTCTAAACATAATACCTTTCCTTGGTGTTCCCTCGAGGTACTATAACACTCGAATGAGTTGCCTATAAATGAAATTTCTTTGGGTTATGCATAAATTGACTAATCACACTAACCGCATATGCTATATCCGGACGCATGTAAGATAAATAGATGAGTTTTCCTACCAACCGTTGATATATCTCCTTATCCACTACAACATCCTCTTCGACCTTTCTATGTTTAATATTCGGATTTATAGGAGTACTTATTAGTTTGCATGTTGGCTTACCTATGTCTATGAGGAGATCCGTAACATACTTTTGTTGGGAGATAAAAATACCTTGCCTAGAGTGAGCAACCTCAATCCCAAGAAAATATTTTAACATTTTAACCTCCCTAATGATTTGATCTCAAATTCCTTAGTTAAACATTGATTTGGGATCCGTCTCTCTTTGTCATCATCTCCTTTCACTATTATGTCATCAATATAAACCAAAAGAATCGTAACTCTCCCGAAGGTGAGTGTTTAATGAACAACTTATGATCCCCTTGGCTTTTTCTATCTCCCATAGCTACCATAACTTTAGCAAATCTCCCAAACCATGCTCGCGGTGATTGCTTTAGGCCATACAAGGCTTTCTTCAACCGACACACGGTATTACCAACCAAGTTCTTCCCATAACCTAGTGGAACCTCCATATAGATTTCTTCCTCTAATTTTTCATGCGAGAATGCATTTTTAACATCAAACTATTGTAAATCTCAACCATAAGTAGTCGTTAATGATAACAAAACTCGAATAGTGTTCATCTTGGCAACAGGGGAAAAGGTCTCTTGATAGTCAATTCCATAGGTTTGAGTACACCCCTTGGCTACCAACCTTGCTTTGTATCTTTCTACGGACCCATCTACTCTACACTTCATCGTATACACTCGTTTACACCCTATGGGTTTCTTTCCAGCTCGATAGCTTCACCAACTTCCAAGTCTTTTTTTCCAATGCTTCCATCTCCACATTCATAGCTTATTTCCATTTCTCATTGGACAAAGCCTCGGATAAGGTGGTTAAGATGGTAATGGTAGTTAAACTAACAAGGAAGGCTCTATGAGATGGTGAAAAATTCTTAAAGGACAATAAGCATGCAAGAGGGTATAAAGGTTGTTTGGTGCATTCTCTTGTTCCTTTCCTAATAACAATGGGAAGGTACTCGGTCATTGATCCCTTCATGAGATCCGGATTCATTATGCAATAAGGGATTAGAAATTGTTACCTCATTCTTAGGATTTAGGTTGGAATCTTAGACCTCGCTTAGATTTAGGAGCACCCATCTTCTTCCTTGTGAACACTTTTCCTTTGCCAAATCTCATGTTTTCAAGAGTATAGTCGGCTTTTTCTTAAGGAATTGGTTTAAGAGGATATTCATGAGAATTTTCAAAAATGGATGGTAAAATAAGCTTTTTAAGAGATGAGTTAGACACAAAAGGGATGTTAGAAAAAATTCTTTATCTTTCATGGTAGAATGCTCCCTCGGAAGATAAGGAGTGTTAAAATAAGACTCTTGTTCATTGAAAGTGACGTTTATCGAAACATAGAACCTTTTAAATGAAGGATGATAGCATTTATACTCCTTTTGATTAGAAGAGTAGCCCACAAAGATACATTTTATTTCCTTTAGATCCAGTTTTCCCCTGTTTAGACTATAGACATGGATGAATGAAACACACCCAAAAACTTTAGGGATAAAGTTATTTGTAGTATGGAGGTTAGGGTAGAAGGTTGAGAGTACTTCCATTGGACTTTTAAACCCCAATACCTTATAAGGTAAACGGTTTATGAGATGAATGGCCGTAAGAGTAGCTTCCTCCCGTAAAGATTTAGGCACATGGTTTTGGAATAACAATGCTCGGGTTATTTGGAGGAGGTAACCATTTTTCCTTTCGACAACTCCTTTTATTGTCAAGTATAGACACAAGATGACTTGTGTATTATTCCTTCTTTCTGAAATATGGAGTTAGGATTTGATTAAAATAATCCTTTGCATTATCTAACGTAAACCTTTAATGCCGACTTCGAATTGGTTTTTAACCATGAAACAAAAATTTGAGAGAATAGTACTAACATCATATTTATGTTTGAGTAACAAAATTCAGATAACATCGGTGCAATCATCAATAAATGACATAAACCATTTTGCCTAAAAAACATTAAGAATAGTACATGGACCCCAAATATCACTGTGAATGAGATAAAAGGGAACGAACTTCTATTAGTACTAACCGAAAAAGATGTACATTTATGTTTAGCAAGCTCACACACTTCATAATGAAATTTTTCAACATTTAGGCCTTTAAACAAAGAGGGAAACAAAATTTCAATAACCCTAAACGATGGATGTCTAAGTCGATGATGGTGAAGCCAAACTTTCTCTTTACTTGGATGAAAGAATTTCTAAAATGAAGGAATGAGATAATCTACCCTTGATAATGTTCGATTGACTTGGTGTTTCAAGGCGGTAGAGGCCATCCCGTTCTTTAACATGTCCAATCATCTTTCCCGAATCCTTATCCTAAAATACACAATAATTGGGATTAAAAATCACTTTGCAATGTAAATCTCAAGTGAGTTTGTTTATAGAGATAAAGTTTGTAGACAATCTAAGGACATAAAGGACATCTTTTAGAATCAAGGATGGACTTCTCCTACACTCGCTATCGTGGTTAAAGCCCCATCGGTAGTAGCTATTTTTCTACTCGCTTGGACATGAAGAATAGGTTGTAAAAATATTTGGTGAATGAGTCATGTTGTCGGTGGCTCTTAAGTCCATGACTTAGGAGTTGGCAAATATTGTACCCGAGACATTTAACCCAATAAAGATTGAAACCTTACTCGAATATAAGTACTCGAAGGTTTTTCAAGGATGTTGATAAGAAACCTCTCAATCTCCTCTTGGTTAAGACTATTTATCTCTTGAGGTGGTGGTTCATTTGGTTGAACTGCAAGTAACATGAGCCCGCCTATTGCCTCTTGGTTGCTCCTTTTCTGTCCCCATTCTCTAATTGGAGGCTTTCTATGAAGCTTCTAACACCTTTCAAGAGTGTGTCGTGCCTTTTTACAACAAGTGCACCATAGGTTGTCATGACTTTGAGCCTTTGATTGACTAAGTTGTCCACCTTCAAGAAATTCCGCTTTTATGGCAAATTTATTGCCATCACTTGCCACCATTACTAAGCTATCCATGACTTGTGATTCAAGCATCAAACCTCTCCTACTTTCTTCACTTCGGATTAGAGCTACCACTTCATTAAAACATGAAACCTCCGGCTTGCTAAGAACATGCACCCTCACTTGATCAAATTCCGGATTAAGACCAATAAGAAAATCATAAACCCTATCGAGCTCAATAAAATTTTTTAGAACAACCGCATCGGTAGGACATTTAGTTTTTATCACCCGATAATGATCAAGTTCTTGCCACAAGGATTTTAATCGGTTATCATACTTAGTAACAAGTTTACTTCCCTATTTTGCAGCCATAATCTTCACTTTGAGCTTATAAACTTGAGCTGCATTGTTAGCTTTAAAGTAGGTCTATTGTATTACCTCCCAAATCTCCCGAGCACTAGCCAAGAACATACATGTGTCACCGATCTCAAGGATCGTAGACCCCCATAACCACACCATAATCATGGAACCCTCTTCATCCCGTGCTTTA